CTCACTTAGTATGCTGTTACAAACACAGTCTAAAGGTTCTTTTCTGTTTCTCCTCCTTTTTCTTCCTCCTCCATTCTTTATATATTAGGTATCATATTCTGTACTTTTTTTCTATCCCTTGATTGACTTTGGGGATAGTTAATTTAATTTTGCATTTTCTTAGTAATTAGCTGTTCTACTTTCTTTACTGTGGTTTTATTACCTTTGGTGACAGCTATTCAACCTTAGGAACAATTCCATCTATAGAAGTCCCTCCAAAATAACCTGTTGAGATAGTTTGTGGGAGGTAAATTCTCTCAGCTTTTGTTTATCTGAAAATTGTTTAATCCCTCCTTTAAATTTAAATGATAATCTTGCCAGATAAAGTAATCTTGGTTCCAGGCCCTTCTGTTTCATGGCATTCAATACATCATGCCACACCCTTCTGTCCTGTAAGGTTTCTGCTGAGCAGTCTGATGCTAGCCTGATGGGCTTTCCTTTGTATGTGATTTTATTTCTGCCTCTGGCTGCTTTTAACAGTCTCTCCTTATCCTTGATCTTTTCCATTTTAATTACTATGTGTCTTGGTGTTGTCTTCCTTGGGTCCCTTGTGTTGGGAGATCTGTGGATCTCCATGGCCTGAGAGACTATCGCCTTCCCCAGATTGGGGAAATTTTCAGCAACTACCTCCTCAAAGACACTTTCTATCCATTTCTCTCTTCTTCTTCTGGTGTCCCTATAATGCGAATATTGTTCCACTAGGATTGGTCAGACAGTTCTCTCAATATTCTTTCATTCTTAGAGATCCTTTTATCTCTCTGTACCTCAGCTTCTTTGTATTCCTCTTCTCTAGTTTCTATTTTATTTATTGTCTCCTCCACTGTATCCAACCTGCTTTTAATACCCTCCATCATTCTCTTCAACAATTGGATCTCCAACCTGAATTCATTCCTGATTTCTTGGATGTCTTTCCATATCTCCGTTAGCATGTTGATGATTTTTATTTTGAACTCCCTTTTAGGAAGGGTCACGAGGTCCATATCATTTAAATCTTTCTTGGGAGTTGTATTAATAATTTTACTCTGGATCATGTTTCTTTGGCATTTCCTATTTGTATATGGCGCCCTCTAGTGTCCAGAACCTCTATTCTGGAGCTGCTCAGCCCCTGAAGCAATGTTGGGGGTTGCAGGGGAGCAGTACTGGTGACTGGGGGTAGGAAAGAGCCGTTTCCCGCCTCCCTGCTGCTGTGCCTGTCTCCACTGCCTGAACCAGTGGGCTGAGCACACAGATACAAGTTTTTGTCCCAGAGCAGCCGGATATGGATCCCTGCTTTCCACAAGCAGCCAGAGTCCCAGTCTCCCCAGGTACTCAGCCTGTATTAACTTTCCAACCCAGTAGTCATGCAAGTCTCATGAAGGCACCATGAAATGTAGGTTTGTGCTCCCAGAGCAGATCTCCGGAGCTAGGTATTCAGCAGTCCCAAGCCTTCCACTCCCTCCCTGCTCCGTTTGTCTTCCTCCCGCCGGTGAGCTGGGGTGGGGGAGGGGCTCAGGTTCCACGGAGCCACAGCTCTGGTATGTTACCCGGTTGGGTGTGCTCTGCTCTTTTCTCCAGGTGTGCAGTATGGCGCTGTCCTCTTTCCTGTTGCTCTCTCAGGATTAGTTGCGCCAACTATATTTTCTGATTGTATCCAGTTTTAGGAGGAAGCCTCTGTCTCTCCTCTCACGCCGCCATCTTTAATCTTTTCCCCATCTTGAATCATTTTAATATTCCACTTTATCTCTTGATTTTAGCTGCATTTCTTTGCATTATCTAACTTTTTATAGTCTACTTAGAGTTAATGAGTTAATATTATACTACTTTATATAAAATGTAGACACCTTTAACTGTATAGTTCCATTTATCCCCACCTCCATCTTCTGTGCTATAGTTGTCGTAAGTATTATACCTACATACATTATAAACTCTACATGATGTCATAATTTTTGCTTTCAACAATCCTATGTATTTTAAAGGAATTAAAAGAAAAAGTAATTTGTACTCAGATATATACCGTATTTTATTCTCTGCATTCCTTCCTAAAGTTTTATGTTTCCATCTCATATCATTTCCCTTTAGACTGAATAATGCCTTTAACATTTCTTGTTGTACATGTCTGTTCATGGTCTTACTTAAAACATTTTTTATCTGAAAATGTGTTTACTTTGCCTTCATTCTTGAAGGATAGTTTCATTGGCTATAAAATTCCAGATTGTCAGTTTTGATTTTCTTAGCACTTTAAATATATTGTTGCACTGTCTGCACATCTGGAGATTTTGATGAGAAGTTTCTGATCATTTGAATCACTATTACCATACATGTAGTGTGTTGTTTTTCTCTGGCTGTTTTTGAGAGTTTCTCTTTATTTTTGGTTTATAGTGATTTGACTTTGATGACCTACGTGTGGTTTTCTCTATACCTATCTTACTTGGAATTTGCTGAGATTCTTGAACCTATAAATTTATGTCTTTTAACAAATTTGGCAAGTTTTGGGCACTCATATCCTTAATTATTTTTCTGCTCCATCCTCTCCACAGGTTCATGGGTCTTTTTCCCTCTTCCTCTTTTTAAATTCATTTTTCCTCTCTATTATTTAGATTGAATGATATCTATTGATCCATCCTCAAGTTCTGTTATATCACCCAGTGTTTATTTTTATTTTTTTAAATTTCATTTCTAATTGTTTGTTTTATCATAGAATTTCTATTTAATTCTTTAATTCTAGGCCATATTTTCTTGGTTCTTTGTTTGTTGACTAATTCTTAATTATATCCTAGACACTGTGAATGTGAACTATTGTATTCCTCTAAAAAGCATACTTTTGTTTACCAGGCAATTACTTTGCTTGTACTCAAATTGCAAACTGTCTTTTGGACCTATAGCTTAAATTTCAGTACAGTCCTTTTGAATCAGTTGGGACTGCATGCAGTCACCCCCATACATTGATGGCTCAGGAGTCAGCCATACACGTGGCCAGAGTTAATACACAGAATCTGGGTTTCCCTTTGTACATCTCTCTTTTCCCAGGATTCTCTTTTCCCTTTTAGCAGCTATGTTTACCCTAAGCTCTATTCTCTGGATCCCTGGGCCAGAAACATTGTGGATTTCTATTGGAGGTTTAGTTGTCCTGTGGTTCTGAGTTCAAGTGACCCTAAGGCTAAAAGCTGTAAACAGGTAACTCACATGCTCACATTATGCCATACCTTTGCCCAGGTTTTAATGACCCTCCAGAATCTTTTTGCTTTGACCACTTTCCAGTATTTTAGTGTAGATTTTTTAAAATTAATTTTTCACATTCATAGGGTCAGGTCTGGTAAGAGCTTACCAGCCATAATGAAATCAGAAGAGCTCTTTTGACTCTTTTGCATTCCTTATCTGTCTAGTTGTTTGTTCTCTGTCTTTAATGTTAGGGGCTTTCTGAAAATGTCTGATCCTTCATTGTTTCTGCTTGTAAGCCATTACTTTCAAAGGGTCAGTTTCATGGTGGAGTGACCAGGCAAGGACTGGCCATCTCCTTGGGTGACTTTAGATGTCCTCTTCCCCCTGAAGACATTTACTTTTTCTTGGGAACATCTTCCAAATTCTTACTGTGAAAAATCTGCTTGGATGCCTGCAAAGCCAATTTGAGAAGGGTCTCACAGTTCAGCATTTAGACTTTTAATTAATTCTTCCATTTTTAACCTGGTAGCTCCACAGTCTCCTTGAATATGTTTCTCCAGAGGATAAACCTTTCCAATGTCTGTGGGAGTGATGGAGATTGTTGCCTGGCAGTCCAGGTTGGGGAAGCTGATCTAAGCGTCCAATTGCTCCTTAATCAAACTTTAAGTCATCAGCTCCACCTTACTCCTGAGTTCAGAGGCTCTAATTTGTTGGGCTTTGTATTGCACTTGGATAACATTTTGTTGGTTCTGTTGCCCTCCACTATCCCCAGATTGTCTTGTTTTTGCTTTTTCTGTTTTGTTAATTCATTTGAAATATAGTCTACTGTAGTCTCTGCTCAGATGCACTATGTTCTTTTGTGTTTGTGCCTCTCTATTCCTTTATTTTCATTTGGGTGGGGTCTTTGGAAGAAGGTTCTCTCTTCCCTTATTAATAGAAGTGAATACATTATAAAAGACCAATCTGAGGAGAAAACATAATATATAAAAGCACTTTATGAAGTCAAAATCTTAGTCTACCAAGAAAAACATTATAGTTTACACTCCAGTGAAAGAATGGGGTGGAAGGTAGTGGTACATGTGAATGGCTTAGAATCATAGCGTTTAAGCCATAATGGACTTGTAGGTTTTTGGAACAGAAATTTTCATGCTTTTTCAGTGGTGGTATTTATTATTTTAAAATGAAAATATACTTGCACCTCAATATATAGCAGAAAAAAGTTATGATTCTTTTTACCCAGGCACTTAAAATTTCTCTTTTTTAAATCCCTTAGCTCCTCCCAAAAACCTTGGGATTCTCCAAAGCACAGATGAAAAACCATTTGCTTTAGTGGTGCCATTTTATAGTGTTTTTGCCCAAACAGTATATACAACCGTCCCTCTGATATAACTGCTTTGAGAGTGTTAAGTAGCAACAATAATATTAATTAAACTTTCTTGAGCACACATTCTGTGTAGCGGCATTATATTATAGGCTTTGTGCTCAGCATCTCATTTAATTCTCACAATGATGCTATAAGGAAGGCATAATGATTATTTCCATATTGTAGGTAAAGAAAAAGTGGCCTGGAGAGGCTAAGTACTTGTTCCTGGATACACATTTAGGAAGTGGCAGAGCTGGGACCCAAACCCAAGTTCGTCTGACTCAAAGCCCACTCACTTAACACATGTCACTGGGCATGGGCTGGTGGGCTTTGGCCCCCCTGGAGCACCTGGAACCATACGTGGGGGTGCTGTACACAGAGGGCTGCCTCCCATTTGTGATAAAAATACACTAATGGAGTGAGTTAAACAACAGAAGCAATGTGTGTCTCCGATCCTCAGGCAACGCCAGCTCCCAGACACCCCACCTGATTCTGCATCAGACTCCTGCTCTCCTCCACAGGTCAAAGGTGAGTGCAGTCTGCCTCTTGAACACCTTGTGCTGCTCCTCTTCTTGGACTCTGGGTGGTGAAAAAGACAGGCCCTTCTCACCTGTGTGTTCCCACAGGTGCATGTTGTCCGCCCCTGAGACCTACAGATGTGAGGACTCCAGATCCTTCTCTCCACACCACAGCCACACCTGGGATGTTACCTGCACACCTGTTCCAGAGCTCACCTGAAATGAGTGACTTTGGCCGTATCCACTGTGGCTTTCACAACTGCTACCCAGACACCAGTCATCTGGACCAATCCATGCCCTCCCATCTGGGAATAAGCCATTCTTACCATCAGCAGCCTCTATGCCACAGCCCTGGGTAAAGGGCAAGACATTTAGTAATGAAAGACCTCAGGGCAGCAGCCAGCCGCTGGCCAAGCCGGCAAAGCCCGAACGGTGGAGTCCTCCCCAGGAGATGGCAGTGTTGAGACATATATCAGACACGGCGAGGCCCCAGTGCTCCTGGCTTTAGACCATCTTTTAATTAAAAAACCACTAAACTCAAGGTCCTCATTCTATGGAAAGTCAGAATGTCAGAAATATATAGGGAGATTCCAGGTGATGGAGAAAGCAGTGTTTACATTTGCTCCTCAGCTGGACTACTCAAATAATTTGGGAATGAGCTCTCAGAAAAGTATCTGCCACTCCAGTAGTGACTAATATTCCTTTCCTTCCTCTCCTTCTTTTCTCTCTTTCATTCCTCCTTCTGGATCTAGAGGATGGGGAAAAGAGTAAAGTCCATCAAAAACTGTGGTAAAATTCCATGTGAAAAAATTTGCAGGTGTAAAATATACACTTATATTTTAAGTCCCTATCTTCTCTGTCTCAATGCCTTTGGAAATGTCAGCTCATTTTTCAAGTAGGAAAATCCCAGATCTATTGGATATCTATTGATATTGGAAAACTAAGTTTCAGACTAGTAGGGATGATGGAATAGGCACTTGCTCTACCCATTCCATCCACTGACCTGGTATTTGCAGACTAACTGGGGCTTAAGGAAAGTTAACTTAGTAGAATTAGTCACAGGATGGCCAAGAGCAGAGACCTAGGAAATTAGAATTGACTTAATGTAACATAGAGAGCAAAGAAGAACCCTAACCTTCATTTTGGCTTCTTGATTGTAGAGCCTCATGGCCACCATCCAAGAAGAGAAAGTGCACGCAGGGGCTGGAGGACTCCAGGAACTCTCAAGTGTGGACCCACCGCTCCAGAACAAGTGAGCCACCCTGGGGCCTGTTGCTGCCTTTGCTGTTAAATCAGGGATTTTTTTTTCCAGCCTTGAAGTAGCCCTACAAAATTATTTTCTGTCTCATAGAAGAGCAGTGATCAGCTCTGAGAGTTTATTTCTTCCCCCTTGACACAGTGTTTCACGCAGTCTTAGGGTTACACAGATGCTCCTAGAAGAGATGCCATTCTCTCTGGTGGAAATGGAATGTCAGTCCTTTCAGTTGTTTTGGAGGACGCAAGCTCCAGGCTGGGGAAGCTGCACAACCTGGCAGCATCTTCAAGAGCCTGCTGGTGTGCTTAACGTGTTTGTGCACTCCTCCTCAACTTCCATGTGCACACAGATAACATGCAGATCTGGGTAAAATGCAGATTCTGGTTCAGAGAGCCTGAGACGGGATCAGAGATTCTGTCTTCCCGACCAGCTCCCAGGTGGGACCTCTGCTGCTGTCTCCTGGAAAGTACTCTGAGAAGCAACACTTTGAAAGGTTTCTCCAGTGGAGCAGAAAGGCAGAAAGTTCAACTTGCCTAGCACTCACTTCAAGTTAGCAGGTTCCCAGTAGATCTTTGAAATTTCGTAAAATCATTTTAGAAGTCTTTCAGCAGAATCATACGGTGCCCAAGTGGTCAAACTGCCTTGTTCTTTGTCTTATATAACACAGGACACACCATGTTTTGAGCTCAGAAACCTGATTAAGTTGTGAACAAACTCAAGTTTTTGAATCTGAAGCCTTGCACTTCAGAGTTTTCTGATCGAAGCCCATGGTACTTACCAGGAGAAGGATATGCCAATTCTATTGGCCATTGTGAATAGTCAAATGCAGGCTGTGTGAACAGCACCCCAAATCAAGGGTACCAACTCACATCTCTTTCATACCCACACATCAGCTTGGCAAGAAGTCCAAGATTGCCCTCTTGGGGGCTCCCCCTTCCACTAACGTCCCCAAACTCCACAAGTTTCTACTGCCCTGAAAAGATATGCACGTGGCTTTCACACCTGCTTGAGTTCCTCCTTTGCCTTTCACAGCTGTATGATAACAGCTGGTACTCTGTGCCTCATGGAGCCCTTCCAGGGACATCGGGTCTGAGCTCCACCATGGGCCATGGGCGATGCCTCCAACCCCCCAGCCAAGGCCCACACGTTGCCGTCCCCCAGAAGTGCTGTGGCAGAAGTGTGCTGGGCATCCAGCCCTTGTACAAACCAAACCTCTTACAGCCTTCTTTCCATTTACATGAATGTACCATGGCCAACAGTTGCTCAATTTTTCTTATTCAACCGCAAAGACACAAAATGCTAGTTAGAGCCCCCTCTCTTGATAATATAGGGCTTGCCATCCCCTTTCCTATGCAAGGCTACTCTAATTTCTTCAGGAATCCTATAACCAGTCTGGAGCTTCTTTATGATTTTCAAACACAAAAGGCTGAGTAAATGCCCAGCCAGATGAGGGAACCACATGTTCACCCTCCCACACATGCACCAGCTCACTGGCAACACTGGGCAAGCCACCCAGACCTTCCATGAGCTTCCCCATGGGACCATATTGCTGCTCAGGTCATCCCAGCCATTTCAGAGTTAAACTCCATCCCGTGAGTATTTTTGACTGCCTGACCCCGGAGACGCATTGGGCTTTTTCACCATCTCCAAAGAACAGCCCTTGAAGAGTAACTGAAATGTCCCAACAGACAGAAAATCCTGAATCCCTCTTTAAGTCCTATTCAAAGGTCACTGAAAAGCTGGTTAAAGATAATTGGCTTCGGACAACTGTTCCAGAATGAAAATGAGCAGGTTCCCAGGGGGGAAAGAAAAAGAAAGCCATGTTTTCATTATAGTTTATATTTTCAGCAGAGATTTTCTAGTGGAGAACTATTTGCTGTTGCAGAGGCTGACGGTTTTTACCAAAGCCCTGGGGAGATGGCACATGGGTAGAGAAAGGAGGAGCATATTACTAGTCTAATAGGCAGGATTTTTGTGGGAGAAAGGTGTTGTAAGTTAATCAGTAAGGTTTCTCTGGTGACCTTCTCCCAAGTAGTTTACTTTGGCTAAGGGTTCAAAGACCCCCATTTTAGGGCTCACAATATAGAATTACTGGGTTGCCGTGAGCATATGTAAAATCTAGCTTAGAGAGAAAGCAGCTGGTGACAGGGCCATGCTAGTTGGTTCCAGCCCTATGTGGTCTGGACCCCAAATGTGAGTGAGTTCCTGGTTCCACCTGATCTGAACCCCAAGTATAAGAGAATTCATGGCCTCATATGGTTAAAACATCAAATACACAGGGATTTTTCAGTCCTGGAGTTGTGGCCTTGGGTTCCCAGTAAGAGGTGCACTGGCTGAATTCATACTGTAGAGTCAGAAAAATTATCTGTCTCCTCTCTCCAGTAACTGGAGACTTTCTGAGCCTAACTTTTCTTGATTATCAAATAAGAATAATAATTTCTACTTAGCCCCATTTTAAAGATGTTTTTAAAGTAATGTATGAAGAAATATTTTGAAAGACATTCAAATGTAAGTTTTCGGCTTTCTCCAGAAGATGGGACCTGGGTGGTTAGCTGCCTTCTTGTAGTTCTCTCTTCTGTTGCATTTTCTCAAGAAATCCTAAGTGCAGTATGAAGGGAAGAGGGAGGTTTGAGTCCCGTGTCTTCCCCTTAATAGCTGTGACACCCGAGCTAGTTATTTTAGGGCTTTGAATCCCAGTTTTCACATTTGTTAAATGAGATTAAGAATCCTTACCTCATGGCCACTTTATAAATCTGTTAGACTGCATCTACCAAAGCATATCCTATGACCTAGTGATTCCACTCCTGGGATTTCACCTACCAGAGATGTGTACATATGTCCACTAAAAGACATGCACAAAAATATCCAGCATTGCTTATAGTAACCACAAACTGAAAAGAAGCCAAATGGCCACCAGGGCAGGGGAACTGTAGCTTATTTATATAATGGAGTACTATACAGCAATGAGAATGAACAAATGACTGCTGTTTGCAACAATAGTGAGTGAATCTCATAACTCTAATGGTGGGCAAAAGAAGCCAATAGATAAGCGTAGGTATCATGTTACTCTGTTAACTGGAAAGGGGCAGGAGTGTGTCTTCTGGGATGCTGGAGGTGTCCTATTTCTTGATCTAGTGGCAGTCACCCAGTATAATTCACTTTTTAAGAATAGTATCAAATTGTGTAATAAGGATCTGTGTACTCTTCTTCATGTATATTATACTTCATTAAAGAAAGTTTATTGAAAAAAAGGAATCCTAACCTGGAAGGTGAGTCACTATGTTAATGAGAAACTATCAAGTGTCTGGGAGAATGCCTGTGGTACAGAAAGCACATGGGAGTAGTAGATCTTATTATTAGTGTTAATAATAATAAGTCCTGGTATTGGGCTCAGGGTGCCTGGAATTTCAGTGTGGTCTTGTGGTCCCAGATTCCCATCCCTGATAGCCAGCCCCAGAGAAGCCACAGCTCTGTCAGCCCCAGGATGGCTGCCCTGATACCCTTGTTGTGCGACAGGAAAGGGAATGAGATGCCATTGCCCTTGAGGACAATGCTCCCTGTCTACACACCCTGCCAGCACCTGGACAAGTGGAGCTGGCCTTTGGCTGCCTCCCTGGTGCCATGACCTGGCCACAGGCTTTGAGTGGGAAAGGGCCTAAGTTCACTGGGATTCACTCAGGCAGAGTGTTAGTTATTTTACATCGGGTAGAGTTACCACAGAGGCCAAGAGCAGAGGTGCTTGCCAAGGTTTCTCAGGAGTAACGGAGTCACCTAAGCTGAAACAAGTAGATGTGACAATGACAGTGCCAACAGTGCTAACTAAAGACACATTGTTCTAGCTCCTGCTGATGGCAGACTTGGGGCTAAGCACTTACAGGCATTACTCACTGAATCTCTTCAACAGTCCTGGGCGGTTTCAGACTGTTGCTCCCATCTGACAGATGAAGATACTGAAGCCCAGAGACCTTAAGGAATTTTCCTAAGAGTGTACAGCCGTCAGGCACAGAGCTGTGATTCAAATGCAGTTCCGTCTGATTCCAGACTCCGAGCTCTTGAACTTCCTGGACCTCTCTCCTTGGAGGAGAGAGGAAGGAAAGATGGAGGAACTAGTTTCTCCCTTTCTCTGAATTTGGTATAAGCAGGAGAGCCAGGAAGGGTTTTGCTTTTTTTTTTTTTTGAGAAGTGTTTAGGCCACATTGTAACTTTGGAAGAGTGAGTGCATGAAGGGCTCCTGGCATTGCCGACCTCCTGTGTTCTAGCTGGGAAGAAGTCTTTCAGGATTTTGAGAAATCTTTCCAAAATGGTTGTTCACAAAAACTAAACTGATGTTTCGCTTTGGTGACATGTAACAGTGATACCCCAAGAAAAACACATTTTCTGTGACATTTGGCATCAGAAGCAACTGGAAGCAGCTCAGTAATTTATTTATTTTAGGAACTTCTCCATGTTAGATGAATTAAAGAAAACCCAGCCATGTCTCCTGCAGTTTTCCAAGCTGTGCTCTAAGTGTAAACTCTGTAGGAGCTAATGTCATATTTCTGTGCTGTTGCTTATAGCTAGTGCTGGTTCTTATGAACACCCATTATTTCCCTTTATCTCCTGATGTCATGCATGGGTGATGGTCAGGGGCTTAAAAGAAAAGGGTAACAGCAAATGTACCAACAGAATTTACATAAAAATTATCTGTGGTTGAACTGTACATTTTGGAGGTGTACTCAAATTAAGACAAACATCTTGCATAGATTATTCAAAAATAGTAGCTTGCACATGCAAAATTGTTGTTATTTGACCATTTTTGACATACAAAAGTAGCAGTATCATATAGTTAATACTACTTACTAACAGGGTATTTTCTATTACTTTGTTGTGGTTTCAGCTTCTGAAAGTGTTGTCTTGTGTTATGGTCGTCTCTCTGCCTGTGTAATATTGCAAGATGGGCAGGACATCTGTTTTAACTTCCATTTTGAGTTGAGGAAAGTAAGACACTAAGTGGATAAATAACTCATCTAAGTTCAGAAAGTTAGTTGGACCACAGAATCTTGGTGCCACCAGGAATCTGTAACACATTAGAATGTATTGGTTGCAATTAACAAAAGCAAAAAGAAACAAGGGATTAAACAAAAACCTCAAACTGCTTTAAGCTTAAAAAAACAAACAAAACAAAATCGGGGGATTTACTGGATCCTGGAAGCCAAGAGTTTAGGATTGGGTCCCAGAACTCAAATCCTGCCATCAGGACTGGGTGCCCTTCATTCTCAACTCTGCCTTCTGCTGTCCTGGTCTCATTCCCAGATAGTCTTTTCCTTCATGTCCCAAAATAGGGCAAGCAGCTCTTGGGGATTTCTCTCTCAGATTCTCACTCATGGAAAAGAGTCAGCATCTTTGAACCTGCATTTCCTGAAGTGCTGAGACCCACTCTGGTTGGATTGAATTAGGCCATCTGTCTATGTGATACAAGAATTAATGCAACTGGTGAATGCTGAGCTTTGCTTGATCGAGCCTGGTCTCCTACCCTCCTCAGGCTGGGAGCAGGCTTGCCTGCAGTCACTCAGACTGAAAGTGAGGAGATGCTACGCAGGAAGTAGGGCAGATAGAAACTGAGAGCAAAGTTTCCAAGTCCTCACTATGGCACTTTAGTGATCATTGACACTAAGCTGCTTTTTTTATAGGTGAGAAAATAGGGCTAGCGACATATCTCCTGCTCCCCACCTGTCATTTCTCACAGGTGGCCTATGTGGCCTCTTCATTTGTTCCATGCAGTGGTATGTGAGTCTACGAAAGACAGCCTTGGAGAAAGGATCTAACATAACTTATTTCTTTGCAGTGTCAAGTAGGAATCACAGCAGTGAAGTGCAGGACCATGATAGTGAGGGACAGAATGTGATGCTTGCGGACCAGTGCCCTCCTGCTCTGAAGTGGCAGCCCTACCAGAGTCTTCCTTGGCATAGTTTATTCAACGGTCATTACGAAAAACTGTAAGTGGCCTTAGGAACCCCTTGTGGTGAACTGGAGAATGAGGGGAGAAAAGCTGGACTAATTCTCAAGTCTACAAGGATTTGGGCTTTGCTGTCACCCCTGATCAAATAAATGGGACAGGTCAAATAAATGCTGGGGGATGGGGACTGTCACTAGGTAACAGTTTAATGTGGCACCCCAAAAAAGTCATCTCTCTTCTTACTTCTGTAGTTTTTTGTTTTTTTAAGTTTATTTAAACAGCCAATCTATGCACCACTGATCTGGAAAAAAAAAAAAAGGAGAACACATAACACAGATGGTATCAACTCAAAGGTATAGAGGCAGATTTATTTTGAATGCTTAGCCGTAATTCATTTTACTTAAGCAAAAAAGGAAGGCAGTATTCATCTGGATTAAAAGTCAAGTTGTTTTGATTTCACTGCCATTTCATTGAGACAGAAAATGACTTATTGCTTCTTAGATTATTACGTCTAATTTGATAGAGGCAGATTTATTTTGAATGCTTAGCCGTAATTCATTTTACTTAAGCAAAAAAGGAAGGCAGTATTCATCTGGATTAAAAGTCAAGTTGTTTTGATTTCACTGCCATTTCATTGAGACAGAAAATGACTTATTGCTTCTTAGATTATTACGTCTAATTTGTGACAAGAATATTGTTTCCTAAGCTACCTAAAAGCAATAAGGTTAGGGGATTGAAATTTTCTCATACCTTTTTTGTTCTGAATGATATTTTAAAACCTATATTGAAAAGAGTTTTTAAAAAGCCAGGTTAGTTGACTTTTTATACAATGTCTGCTATCAAAGACAGAAGTGCTATTCTTAGGGAAATAGATTTCTGTGACCAGAGATTAGTGTTTAAAATTCAGAATAATCTTCAATAATTGTTGGTTGATTCAGTTTCTGCTTATAGCTGACCTTAAATTTCAGGCTAATGTTCAAAACTGAGCTGTAAACCTTACCTTCATCTTTCAGAGATTTTGATAGTGAAACATGGAGGATCACAAAAAACTATTTTCCTTTTCTCAAACAAGACAGTTACCCTCTGCAGTAAAATCTATGCAATTCAATTCATCTAACATTTAGATGAGCAAATTAGCAGATTAGTTCCAGAAACCTGATTAAATGCAAAGTTCCCAAATGGCAGAAGACATGTGATCCTTACCAAATCCTTCATTCAGTGGATTTCCTTTCGCTGCTGGTGGGTACTGTAGTAGCAGAGACTTTGACTGATTGATCAGCTTCCAGAGGCTAATCAATGAACCCCATGCCTTGATCCACTGGAAAGGTGCTTAACTCTCAAAGAACATGAACACTCTTCCCCAAGAGACCCACTCGTATTTTCTGTCTCTGGAATTAGAGGAAAGTTGAGAAACTCCATGCTGTTTATTATAATAGCAGCCATCCACACTGAGACCCCAGGAAGCAAAGATCCACACCACAGCAGAGAGCGAACTCAGTAGCTCTCCTTGGGGGAGGTCTTGGGGAGGAGCTTCTTTCCTGAGGAAATATTCACATTTAAGAACCTTAAGGAATTAAGTCATGTTCCATATATACACCATGTATGGGAAAAACTCACTAAAGGAATTTTCAACTTTTATATTCTCTACTTGATAATGTTACATATTTAGTGTTTTTATTTTTATTATGGTTTGAAAGTATTTAATTAAACATGTCATACACAAAGCGTTGCTACTGAAAATGGTTTGATAAAACAAATAAAGCAAGAAGCTCACTAGGCACCACCACTATCTCACTCCTTTTTGCAGAAGTGCCCGGCTTAGCAGGTTTTCAGCACTGTTATCAGATCAGGAAGATATAAAGGAAATGACCATACTCTAGTGAAAAGAAGTTTTTAATTAGTAGTCTGAGTGGCTCTGGTTAATCTGGTTTAAAGCCATTCCTGGTGTTTCTTACCAGTGTGTTTTTTTCATTTGACCACTAATAGGCTGAATGTTCCTTCATCGTAGTGACTGTTTGAATGAGGTGTTGCTGATGAAATTTAGAGACTTTTTTTTTTTTTTTAAAGGAGGAAAGATGAATTCTATCCCAGAT